AACACGTACCTTTAGCCTCACAGACAGCCGCACGCTCTGACTGCCGGGATTGTGCTCACACAGCACAGCAGAAGGTCCTCCTTCACGCATTCCTCTCTAGGACCCAGGGGCTGCCCCTGTCTGCCTGAACTTGTGACATCTCGTGTACGGGGCTACGGTGGCCGGAAAACCGGACACAAGATGCCAAAACCGTACTGTCCGGTTGAAAACCGGACAGGTGGCAACCCTAAGTATATAGCTCCCACTATATTCTGAGCTTTGGGTCATCGGGAGGAGGTTAGTATATGTCCTCTCGTGACCTCTGAAGAGAACTATAGGGGAAAAAAGGTTACCACATAATTCTCTTTTGAATTCACTTAACAGAGCATGTGCATTAACTCCTGTTCTCAGCCCCTGCAACACACAGTGCCTCACTCAAATGCTGCTCTATACACTGCACTTATAATTCAGAAATGTATACGAATATATAAAACACACATAACATAAAACATATAATATAAATATAAAATAAAAGCTTTCTACACTATCAACCACTATTTGCTGATCTCACAGCACACACAAATTCTGCATTTATACCACATTTTATTTAGGAATAATAAATACTTAACTTTTAACAATCAAACACATATTCTCAATTTTATGTATTTCCAATAAGCATACATTTTCTCCTTAACGTTATTACTCACCCTACAGCATACAGTCCCTTAAAAAAAAAAACATAACAATATGACGTTTTGGCCATCATGATGCCACAGTGCATTCCATACTCACTAAACTCTGTTCAAAGAAAAAGTATGGGGCAACTTTTTTTTTTTTTTTTAAATTCAGTTATCTTTATTGACTACATCAAATAAAACAGAATGTATTACGGAACAAGTAGAATCTGAGTAGTCAGACTTCAGGCAAAGAGTTTGTGAACAGTCAAAAGTATACGACATTACAAATATCAAAACTACACGAGGTAGATGGTCTAAACTTCAACATTACCCCCAGTACAAGACGGGGGAACCGTTTGGCAAGAGAACACATGAGGAGGTCATGTACTCTAGACACGCTAAGGCAGATAAGTATGTTTGGGAGTAGCTAGGATAAATCGAACAATGTGATATTTTGCGTCCGTATTATAGAGGACTGCAGTGTTGGACTGCAATCTCCCATGCACACATCCCCTAGGCTATGAGACCAGATACAGAAAAGGAGAAGCAGGGAGGAACAGAGCAGTAAGGACCAGGGTAGGTGGGAGGGGAAGCAGTGAGGGGAGAAAGAGGGGGGTGGGGTCAGGAAGGGAGCGAGGCTCCAGGGCACCCGTCACAGGGGGAAATCAAGTTACCTGCCACAGGATTAGGTGCGGTGCCCAACCGAGAGTTACGTGGTCATGTGCCGGAGATAGCCATCAGATGCACGGAAGCAGACCCACGGTCTCCACGTGGAGTTAAACCGCTCCTCTGTGTTTTTCAGGGAGGCAGTTATATCCTCCATCCTATACGTGTCATTCACCCTGGAGAACCAGAGCTGTATAGGGGGAGGCTGGGGAGACTTCCACAACATGCCCTACATCACCAGATGTATCGTGAGGGAGGATTTGTAGCTGGCCAGGGAACGCCTGGGCATTTGCAGTAGACAGGCGGCCGGTTTGTCATGCAGGTCGACCATGGTCAATGAGCGTACCACCTCGCCCACCGTGTTCCAGAAGCTGCGCAATTTTGTACAGGACCAGAAGATGTGAAGTAGCGTGCCCGGGGAGGAGTCACATCTCCAGCACATAGGAGAAATGGAGGCGTCAAACTTATGCAAAACGGCGGGCACCCTATACCAGCGCGTGAGGAGTTTGTACCCAGCTTCCTGGTAATTATTCGCCAGTGAAGATTTGTGGGCTATAGCTAGCACGTTCGCCCGTTGCTGGGGGGTGAATTCCGTATATGGGTCAGCTTCCCATTTAGCTAGAAAAGGGGGGAGGAAACCCTGAGGGGGAGAGATCAGTAGCCTGTATATTGTAGAGACAGCGTGCCTGGGCGGAGAATTCCCCGTACACAAGTTTTCAAAAGTTGTGCACGGTCTATCCAAGTCCTGTGGGGAGGGTACTGCTTTCAAATAGTGCCCGAGCTGTAGCATGCTCCCGTGGTCCAGAGGGGGATCCGTCAAAGCGCGCAGGGCGGGTCCCAGGAGCCATTGCGAGGCAGAACGAAAATCGAGCATTCTGAATTTGTTTACCCGAAGAAGTCGGAGCAGTCGCTCGTTCTCATATCCTGGACGAAGGTCGGGGTCCCCAAAAACCGGGGTAAGAGGAGATGGGGAGGGGGACAGTTTCTGGCCACCGCAATGGTATTGTGGATCATCATCATCGCTTGATCTCGGGGGGCAAAGGTGAGGCCTCAATGGGAAATCTATATACTCCTTTCTCCATAGCCACCCATTGTTTAGCTTTGCCATGTATACACCAATCCAGGAGTCTGTTCAGCTGGGTAGCCTTGTAATAGGATTGAAAATCAGGGAGGCCCACTCCCCCCATAACTGTGGGAAGGGTTAGGGTACGTCTGCTGATTCGGGGGGAGCCGTCTCCCCAAACGAAGGAGGGGTGGTAGTCAAACCGGAATGGCCTGAAGGAGGTATAGCAGCCTTGGGAGGACCGTCATCTTCAGGGAGTTACATCTGCCAAACCAAGACAGTGTGAAGGTTCTCCAATGGCGAAGGTCCAGCCTAAGCTTGCGAAGGAAGGGGACGAAATTAGCTTCATATAGGTCAGAGAGGTCCAGGGTGATGTGGGTCCCTAAGTACTTAATGGGGGGGAATCTGCATCCGGGGAAGTTTGTCAGTTCAGTCACGCAGGTCAGGGTTCTCGCCGATTCAGTCCTGGCTGGAGGGAAGCAGCCCGTGGTGGAGGCCTGTCCCGACTACTGACAGGGTAAGGGTTCCTCCGCGGAACGGGCAGCAGATCTACAGGAAACTGTAGAGATCGGAGAGCTGGTCTGGGGAGTGTAGGAAGAAGGACCTGTCATTCCGGCGAACAATGAGGTGGAAGGGGTGCCCCCACCGAGCGGATGAGTTCCAGCACTGGTCGCAGGAGTCTGCGCATCCGCAACGTGTGTCTGGACAGATCTGGCATCACCTGGACGCTTGCCCCATCAAAATCCATTGGGCCCTGCGACCATGCCCATCGCAAGATCTCCTCTTTGAGTGCAAAAAAATGCACGCGACAAAGTACATCCCTCGGGGCACCCTCAGTGCCAAGCCTGGGCAGCTGCGCTCGGTGCACCCTGTCGAGCTCCAGGAAGTCCGCAGGAGGTCTGCCCAGGTATTGGTTCAAAATAGCTGTTACCGTCGGCCATAGATCTCTACCCGCCGTCGCTTCGGGGATGTCCTTTCAGCCGCAGGTTGTTCCTGCGGTTGCAATTCTCTAAGTCATCCTGGGTTAGGGACATGGCGGTCATTCGCTGGTTTGACTCAGTTTGACAAGAGCTGTTATTCTGGTCTCAAATCCGGAAGAGGTCGTCTCCAGTGAGCTCACCTTGCTCTCCAGGGAGGACACCTGCTGCTTAACTTCAGCCCGCAGTGCCGCCACTATCTTGGAGGCCATGCAATCCAGGTCCTTCTTCGTCGGCAAGTGTGAGAGAACATCTCTCCAGTCATTGGGAGATCCCCCTGGAGAACTGGCCGGGCTGCGAGAGCCCGCCAATCCCCTGTCAGAGTCTATGCCCGGGAAGCTTCGAGGGTTGGTATGGGGGATGCAGGGGGTCCGGTTTGCGGGCGGGAGGAGCCCGCAGGGCTGTCTGTGACTTACCCTGTGCCTTGAGGGGAGTGGTGGCGGCAGCCGAGGCCGAGGCTCTGGTGGGCCCCATCATGGACTTCGGGCCGGCGGGAGTCAGAGGCAGCAGCGGTGCAACGTAGCGGCGTAAGTCCGGTCCCCGGGAGGTCTCGGGAGTGCTGTCGGGATTGTGGCGGCTTTGCATGCAGGGTAACGGTCAGGTATCGTAGTAAAAGCCGTCTTCTGGCGCTGGCGGACATAGAGCTCAGGGAATCCGCGTGCTCACTCGGCCATGACATGACCACGCCCCCCTGGGGCAACCTTTTTTGGCCATAGTTCTCTTCAGGGTCACAGGGTTGTCCTCTGGTGACCCAAAACTCAGTATATAGTATATAGTGCGCTATTGCCTGCTATATGCTGAGAGCGCAGAGGCGCACCACAGCCGGACAGATCCCGTCAATACTGTAGAGATCCACCCCTAGAGATTACCCTAGATACTGGCTCTAGGGTAAGGCTGCATAGGCAGGCCTCTGAGGACCCTGGGGATGGGATGCACCTTCGCCTTCGCGAAGGTGCATCTCCTTGCACCGGCCCTGCATGTGACAGGCAAATGTGGTCAGCAGTCTAATGTCAAAACAGCTTTAGACCACCAAGTGAGTTTGCTGGTTGCAGTTCTTCATAATGCTAAAACTGAGTTTTATTTATTTCTAAATTATACTAAAACATAAATGCATGTCCTTGCCCCGAAAGAACCAACCCAGCACTCTAGGCATGTTGGCTGGTATAAACATGGCTAGGCAGAAGTGAGCATGCAGCTCCCCTGCTATGTTTATACCAGGCTTTTTACCTTTGGAGGGCTGCTTTATGAAGGGTTGCCTAAAACAAGGAAATCACTCCCAAAGCACCAGTGCCGCTGGAGGGCACAAGGCTCTTCAGCACCATATTTACAAGTATTAGTAACATTAAAAAACATCAAAAGTAGATGGAACCAAGGTAAGTATTTTTTACTACCAAAAAACCCAAATAAGAAAAACCCCATGTGCTACATACTGTGTGTAATACCAAGATCTATAATAGTCAACAAATGTAAAATACATGTGACTTACAATAATTAAATAGCACACATTAAATATATACAGCCTATAAAGTGTTGCCACATACAGTATTTTAAATTGTAATGGCAGATAGCACAACTGTCTGTGTGTATGTAGCTTTTATACATCCAAGCATTTCTACATCCAAGCATATAAATTCATACCATTTCATTATAAGTTGGATTGCATGTTTTCTTTGCAACCTTCGTTTTTCTCTTGGTTGTCTTTTGTGGATCTGGCAACAGATACATCTTTACATAGGGATTTGGCTCGTTGGTGTCTTGAAGAGGCTGCTCAAAAAAGAATATAAAATTGATGCAAAATGAATCAGAGAAAAAAAAGCGAGTAACCATAGAAGTCTGTACCTAGGTGATGTTTTACACGTTAAATACACAGCTTGTAAAAGCTAAAGACCATCAGATTCTGCAAGCATTTACAAAGAATTTAACATGCTTTATGCAACTTGGCTAATGAACTCAAAACAGTTTCCTGCTCCACTGTGAAGTGATGTGTACAGAACCTTAGATAAGGCCTGGCTTCAAGCAGAGAATAAGGGTCACCAAAGTCTTGCTAAATGTTTGTTTAAAGCTACAATCTTTTTTATTAAGCACTCATTTGTAAGCCTGTGTATTTGGTATGTGTATACATGTGTGCATTTATGTAGGTCAATATAATATGGATGTATGGCATATTTCTGATCCATAAGGCTCTTATGGATCCTTACTAAGGGATGCTTAATACAGTTTATTATTAGGTATTTGGGCAGTTATTACTAGTATAATAGGTAAAGTGGTATCCACATGGCTTTTAATATAGAAGAAATGTGTTCCAGGGATGTGGTGCCCTTTTCTGTTTCAATGTTATTATTTTTGTTTTTAGGAGAATAACATTACAACCATTGTTGCCCTCTCAGAGGCTACACCACATTGAATGTATTTTACATAATAATTCGGAGGATGTGAAGAGATAACAGTGGGCAATTAGATATGTTACCTGTACATAGCATTGTGCAATATGCCCCTGGACAGCAGGGCCGGACTGGCCATAGGGCAAACCGGGCACTTGCCCGGTGGGCCGGGCCGAACACAATCAACCTGATTGTGTTCGGCCGGTCCGCTATGCCCGATAGCCGGCTCTGTGCAGAGCAGTGTCTACTGTGTGGTAGCAAGCAGAGCCGGCACTACCACACAGTAGACACTAGGGGGCACTGGTGGGGGAGGCCAGAAAAACACATCCTCCCCCAGCTCTCTCTACTCTTTGCTCTTTCCGGAGCTTGCTGGTGCTGTTCCTGCAGCCCGCACTGTCCCGGTATCGGCATTCATTACATGCTGTCACCTGATCATTAACTTGAATAGGTGGCAGCTGTCACTGGTAAACGCCAGATTAGGGATTTCTGCTGCAGTAAAACGCAAGTTTCTGATGCAGGAATCCCTAATCGCACCTAAACCTACAGATATTAATAGGACCTTATTGTGTGTATATTGGTATCTGTAGTACTTAAACTGGATATAGTTACACTTTATTTAAAAGTATGAAATGTGGCAACCGGCCCCCATGAGAGAAAAAAATGTGTCGAGTGACCCCGAGGCGGAATAGGCGGAGACACGGAAGAGGCAGAGACACTGACGGAGGAGGCGGGAGGCGCCGCCGAAGCTCCAGTCAGGCAGCGAAGAGGACAAGGAGGCCGCGTTCCAAAGAGGTCAGGCCGTGCAAGGTAAGAGGACTGTGCTGGCAGAGCCCAGCATAGATTCTGCACAGCCCACCAAAGAGTCTCAGGTGTGCTGTGCAATACCCTTTGGTGGGCTCTGCAGGATCTGAGGGGGCTCTGCAGTCTGCAAAGCCCACCACAGATCCTGCAGAGCCCCCCTGAGATCCTGCACGGTCTCTGCAGGATCTGTGGGGGGCTTTGCTGGGTCTCAAGGGGACTTTACAGGATCTGCGAGGTCTATGGTGGGCAGAGCCAACCACAATCCTGCACAGCCCCCCGAGACTGCAGGGTCTCAGGGGGCTGTGCAGGATCTGTAAAAATCATCAACCGGGTCCCAGGGGGGATTTGCAGGATCTGTGTCGGGGTCTATGGTGGGCTCTGCATTAGAGTGTAAGCTCCTCTGTACAGAGACCGATGTGACTTCTCTGTACATCACTGTCAGAGCTTCATAAATGTATAATAATAGTGTGTGACTGTTTTGGGAAATTAGAGTGTTAGCTACTTTAGTGCAGAGAATGCCAGGGGGGTTGGGGGGCCGGTGAGATCCGATTCTCTATAGTAATATGTCTGTGAAGGTTCATTCATCCAGGTCAGGGTATATCTGTAAAAAATAAGTCAAGGCAACTGGACTTTCTGTATTTTTCCTGAAGACGTTTCACTGG